CTTCTCTCTCTCTCTCTCTCTCTCTCTCTCTCTTCTCTCTCTCCTCTCTCTCTCTCTCTCTCTCTCTCTCTCTCTCTCTCTCTCTCTCTCTCTCTCTCTCTCTCTCTTTCGGAATGACGCGTGCCTTAATGCCGCGGGCGGGAGAGAAGAAGCAAAGCGAGAGTCACTATACTCTTTATATACGCTTCATTACAGAACGCAAGCATGAATATTAATTACCTCCCCGGACGTGGAAACGGACACTCGCCTCAACGACAAAAACCTCCCCAGGCGACAAAAGCTGGCTCTAGCAACCTCCCGCTCAACCGATATTTGTCGCGCTCTCTTCAAACTCGCCCGGCTTTGTTGCGGCTAAGTGGATACCCGTGTAAGATAAATTAAATATTAAACGCGCCGGCTCCAAATCAGAGAAGGACTGCTTAAGAATTGTCTCTGCATGCGGTGCGTGCGTCGGCGTAGCGTCGGCGGAGTGAGCTGTGACGTAGCCGACGATATATATATATATATATCTGTCGGCGACGAACGTTGTCATTCGATTTACATTACTGCATAATTTATCGGCGCGTTTCTGAAACGACACTCGTGAAAATAATTCGCGAATATGTGTTTATATATATATTCATATGCTTTACATGAGTAGAAATTCCATGAGGGGAAATGCTTTCGCGTTGCTTAACTGAATAACTTTCAGTGCGCATGCCCCACTTGTGCATATTACATGCAAACAGTTGAGTATATAGAAGCGTTAGCATTCATCTTCTGTCGGCTCGCCATGTGAGCTTTTCTTCTTTTATGTGCAGATATTAAAAAATTACGGCTCGCACATTGCTCGAGTTGGTGCGCGGTGATATTTTGAATAGTCGACACTCACACACACACACGCACGCACGCACGTACGCACACACACACACACACACACACACACGGCACGCATCGTTCAGCACGGCAACAGTTCGACATAACTGTTAAAAGTTATCATTCACTGAAATCATGACGTCGCTGTAAAACTAAAAATGCAAAGCGTATCTGTTTGGTCCTTTCTATGACGAAATGCGACGTGCTCTGTATGAGCGGTATATACGTCGATGTTAAAACGCTTCTGCACGCTTCCCCGCATTAATTCCTAAGTAGAAATCGGCCAGTTGAAGCGATTGTGGGCGCCATCGCAGTAGCTATACGTATACGCATTAAGCGTTGGAGGAATGTCTCGCGTATTGCATGCATGTATTTTGTCAAGCTCTATAACTACCCCGCTCTCCCCCTCTTCTTTATCACATACACACACACTCTCTCTCTCTCTCTTCCTCCCCTTATCCCTATCCCCTTTTCTCTCACTCTCCCTCTTTCTCTCTTTCTCTCTTTCTCTCTTTCTCTCTTTCTCTCTATCCCTCCTTCTCCGGCTCTGCCGCTCTATCACCCTTTCCTTTTCCTCTCTCTCCTTCAATCTCTATCTATTTTTGCTTCTCCATCTCCATCTACGTTTCCGCTTCAATTTTCCTGTCCCTTGCCCTCTCCTTCTCCGTCGCTCCCCATGTCTTTCCCTTCATCGCTTCCACATTTACCTTTACTCGTGTCATATCACGAGGCGTCGCGAGATTTCGCGAGAACGCGAATTTCAATAAGTGATGACTTCGCCGACGCCCAGTGCACTCAATCATACTAGGTTTACCCCAACGTCGGTTTACCGTGCCGATTACTTCCATCTTTATCTTATCACTCTTTCACTTTGTACCTGTTTTACTTTTCTTCTTAGGTTTTACTCTCCGAGTCCGCGTCGCGCTTGCCGCGATCCTGGTGACGAGAGACGCACCTGCAGACCCACCCGCGCGACGGAGTTCGCGGTAGACGAGGGAGAATCCAACGCAAACAAAGCTCACTCGAGCGCGCGCCGACAAATTCAATTTGCTCCCGCGTTCAGCGCTGAGCGATGAGTCTTGCGCATGCACGGAGCAGCATCACAATACGATCCGCGGATCCGCGCTGTTTTTTCTCTCGCGGATGCCGCTGAATTATTGACGGCGGTTCTTCGTCCGTTAAATAAAATATCTTTCGACGACTGGGTTTAGCTATCCGGGGCTGGCGCTGCTGCTGCTGCTGCTGGTGGTGGTGGTGGTGGTGGTGGTGGTGGTGGTGTTGCTGCTGCTGCTGCTGCTGCTGTTACTGCTGCTGCTGCTGCTACTACTGCTGCTGGTACTGCTGTTGCTGCTGCTGCTGCCTGCTGCTTGCCTGCTGCTGCTGCTGCTGCGGCCATGCCCGCGCGCGTGTATAGGTTTGTCAGATCGCCATGAAGTTAGACGCACTGTTTGCAATCGAATTAATATTTAATTTTACACGGAGTCGGTTTTAATAACGCGTTTCAATAATGGAGCAGTCGCTCCCCACCCTACCGCGTCGCGAAGAATGCCATTTGTTTTCTGCGCGCTATCGTTGCAATGGCTACGCGAAAAAACGAGTGTAGCCTACTCTTTTAAAGCGCATCATCGTTTTTGTGTAACTCTCGTGCACAGTTGAAGCGCATTAGTTATAAGAACTTCACATTCTATACGACTACGAGTATAATGATTCAGTCACGTAGCACCTATATACTCCGCGCTGGTATACATGCAGATGTTCATTGATTGACGCGGAGCGAGTTGTATACGCGGTTGGGCCCCGTGAGAAACCTTCAGCTATAGTCTTATATTTAATTTGAAAACATCGTGAATTTTATACGGCTGGTCTCATGGAACACGCGTTAGCGACGCGTATATATATATATATATATATATATATATATATATAATTTATATATTGCATGCTGTTTATCGCGGGTTTTTTCTCCTGCATGTACGCGAAGCATTTTCATAACTTACATCCTCGGCAAGAGAACACCGACAATTGTATTATATTATCAAGAGCTAATAAGCTAATAATAGGTATTATTAGCTCTTGATATTATGCTATTCGATTTATTTCCGGTGAGATGCATGCGTGCAGTCTAGAGCGCATAACCCATTGCACGATAGTAAGTCGGATATATATATATATATATATATGTATGGAATCTTGTTACAACCGGTTTTGGAGAACAGACTCACATGCAGTTACTGCACACGGCGGCCATACGCTAGGCAGGCAGGCAGGCAGGCAGGCAGGCAAGCAAGCAGGCAGGCAGGCAGGTAGGTAGGCAGGCAGACAGACAGGAAGGCAGGCAGGAATGCAGACAGGCAGGAAGACAGGCACGCAGGCAGGCGGGCAGGCAGGCAGGCAAGCAGGCAGGCAGGCAGACAGGATGCAGGAAGGCAAGCAGGCAGGCAGGCAGGCAGGCAGGCAGACAGGCAGGCAGGTAGGCAGGCGGGAAGGCAGGCGGGAAGGCAGGCAAGCAGGCAGGCAGGCAGGCTGGCAGGCAGGCACGCATGCAGGCAGGCGGGCAGGCATGCATGCAGGCGGGCGGGCAGGCAGGCAGGCAGGCAGGCTGGCAGCCAGCCAAGCAGGCAGGCAGGCAGCCAGCCAGCCAGGCAGGCAGGCAGGCAACCAGCCAGCCAGCCAGCCAGGCAGGCAGGCAGTGCATGCTTAGGCAGGACTATTCAAGCTATATTTCCCATGTATATAAGCGCATATAATCGGGCGCGGTGTATATATATATACCACGGTGTGAACTCTGGCATCTGTGCAAGCACGGGCATATTGTACGCGGCGAAAGCAACGTTGACATAACGTGTGTTATTCTTAAATTGGAGTTGCTGACATTATATTAGAAATAGCTTGCGCACCAGCTATAATTATAGCAAGGGAGAAATGCGCCAGTATATACCAAATGGACGCACATTGTGTGTGGCGTAGTCACGTGAATTACTGTTTTCATTTTTCTTCTTTGTGTTTTTAATACATTGATTATACCTAATAGTAATTTTAATAGCGCGCCATACGTACAGAACTATTTTTCTACCGTTCATATTCAATATAGCCACACACACACACAACCCACAATGCAACACATACAACACACACACACACACACACCTAACACACTCACACACACACACAACACACTACACACACAGACACACACCACAACACACAACACGACTTAAATATAATATATATATATATATATTATATACTTATATTATAATGATATTATTATTACATATAGATCAGTGTCTAGCGTGAACGGTCTTCGATCCTCTGTATCATCTAATACAAGAGCTTGCCCTATACTACTGGTTACATAATTAACGCTTTTTTAATTTTCATCGGCACGTATGAGAGCGCCGCCGTTTCCGTTCCAGCGGATAATTAATATATATATATATATATTATAATACTATAGTAGAAGTATATTCGCTGTCGTTGCACGCATATTCAAGTTGTATTTAGTTAGTTTAGAAAAATCCGAAATTTGTTTTAACAAGCGCTTTCATCTTTATAGAATCTTCACTGTGTGTTATATAATATATATATATATACTATATATATATAGAGATGTGAACAACTATTATCTCTATTATTATCATCCTGAACTATTCTATATATATATATATATATATATATATTATATTATATGTATCGTAAAATAAATAATACTATATATATATATCAACGCTGTTACGATAGCGCAGGCGTCAATGGATCCTGGTTGCGACCATGCGCTGACTTTTTATCTAAGGCAAACGGCGCTTCTTTTCTTTTGCGATCACTCGTCTTCATCAACTCTTTAGAATAGCGAAGTCCGAATAAACGCTTAGATGTACGACACGCCGCAAACATAGAGTAATAACATCCGCACCGAAAAGATATGAGCCGTCGCGAGCAAATAACACATTGTCAGGCGGCGGCGGTCAACATGGTTTCTTGCATGCGCCGAACACGTAGAAAAAATGTTCGTCGATCGTGTATGGGGTACGTTCTATTCACCTACTCAGAGGAAATAATCATATTATTGTAATTATTGTCGGTGACCCTTCGGGTGCCCTCGAACTGTACCTGGCATAGTGGTATGCATATTTTATAGGGGAAGAGGCCAAAGTTTGCGGTTATTAAAATTCTAATTCGGGAAGCCATCGATTAGTGATCCCGTCTGGTCTGACAGCGTACTGCGATGTAGTTAATTGATTTTGAGTGTCAATGGTTATAAGATATATAACTGTTAAGTTAAATGATTTCTAGATTCTACGTTGTTTATATCTCTCTTACTCTCTCTCCCCCTCTTCATATCTCTCTTTGTCTATGTTTATTCTCGCTCTCTTTCTTTCTTTCTCTCGCTCTCTTCTCTCTCGCGACGCTCAATCTCTCTCTCTCTCTCTCTCTCTCTCATCTCTCTTCCGCTCTCTCTACTTTATTCTCTCTCTCTCTCGCTCTCTCTCTCTCGCTCTCTCTCTCTCTTCCTCTCCCTCTCTCTCGATTTCACTCGCTCCTCCCCGCTTTTTCTACCCATTTCTAGGGTATGTGGGCGTACGCTATAGTATTTGTGTATATAATTTGTTAAACGTAAGCCGTATTATTATATCAGTTGATATCTAAATCCCTCTAGCAGTGTATATGCAAGCACTGGTAATGCCAATCATATAGCCACTTGGCACCTAGACAAACACGAGCCCGATGTTTGTTAAGTGTGGCATCATTAGTTGAAGGAGCTTTTTTAAAATAATGTGATTTTCCTTCCGTAACTGCACTGCCCTTAACGAATGTTCGAGTGGTATTAAAAGATTTAAATTAAATTAAATTTTTACTGTACTATAGCAATATGACGAAATCGCTATGGAAAATGCAATATAGCTTATATTATATAGCTATAGTAGCATTATTAAATTATAATATAACAATTATAAATTATAACGGCTCAATAAATTGTGTGACATCTAATAAAACGTTGAATATATATTCTCTAAAAATGGTCGTATAAGCCACAATGGAGTTTTTTGCAGCGTTGCTTCTGTATGAAATCACACGTTTTACTATAATATAAATATATTAAACTACCACATTTTGTACGTGACCTCGGGTGAATCTATTCTGGCACGACCTCATCTTTAAGCGTCCGTGATATAGTACTTTACTAATTAAAACTTGATAACTAAACGTGTGATTCCAGTACAGGCGTTGTGATTTTAATCGCATTTAGTATGTTTATTATTATATTTTCAATGGATTATTGTGGACAACACAATTGTTAAATTTCAATTATTTTAATTACACCTATCTGTTGTGGTAATTCCTGGTAGAAATTAACATGGCTTTATTTTGAGGAATGCCGAAATATACTGACGCGAGTTGAATGTACCGATATGCGTTCCAATAATTTCCGTCACGGATATCACGTTCAAACGTATCAATAGCATCCTTCCTTGACCTCTAAATATATTCGTATAGATATATACTTATACGATCGATGAATTAATATATATATATATATATATATATATACTATCATATCATACAATATTATATCCTAGACTGCAACAAAACTTGGGCTAAAAAATTTCGAAATCAACGTATCGAAATATTTTGTTCTCCAGGAAACAAAAAAAATGAAATGCAACAAGCCGTGCCGTATTAATTAACTACACCGTGAAGTATAATACGTACTCTGTGAATTAGGAAATTCACTTGAATATTTTGAATTTTCTTAAATTATTTCCTACCTGTTTACGGTTCCTAATACAAAATCCTTCACCTGGTACATATGGTAACACAGGAAGAAGTGACTATAGAGTAGTAGTTTAGTAGTAAACTAGAAGGAAAATAGGGAGAGAAATAGAAGAAGGAAGGAAGAGAAGGAAGAATAGAAAAGGTATAGAAGAGAAACGAAGAGAAAGAAGCAAAACGAGAGAGGCGGCTCACCGAGGTTCATGTCTGAGATGGTCGACATCTGATCCTTCGTCGTAAGGTACATGTCAGCGGTGGGCGCTGGCGGCAAGTCTCTCTTTCCCTCTTGGTCTCTTTCTCTCTCTCTCTCCCTCTTTCTCTCGCTCTCTTCCTCTCTCTCTCTCGCTCTCTTCCTCTCTCTCTTTCCCTCTGCGTGTCTGTCTATCTGTATCACCCTCTCTCCGTGGCTCTGTGTGTGTGCCTCTCTCTCTTTTTCTCTTCGCTTTCTTTTTCGTTTTCTCTCTATGTGTGTCTCTCTCTTCCTCTGTCTCTCTCCGTCTGTCCCTCTCTCTTACCTTTTCTCTCTCTCTCTTTTTCTCTCTTTCTGTTTGCCCTTCTCTATCACACTCTCTCTCGCTATCTCTCTCTCTCTCTCTCTCTCTCTGTATGTGTCACACGCCACCGACTCGATGGCACACACGTCTTCGCGCTGCTATGCGGGGGCGCGTACTTTCCTCGTCGCGTTCGCCTAGTCTTTGATCCTGCGAGAGTGAGTCGCCGGAATGTTTCCAATCGTTTCATATCAGTCTTTAACAGTGACTCCTTTTATGAGGCGGTGGGAACGTCACAGCTGCGCGGCGCCCGACGCGCGTCTCCGATTGGTCGAGCGCCGCTCGGGCGTTCGTTCGTCTGCCGTCGCGGCGCGTGAGGCGAGAGAGCCGCGCTGAAGTGGCTTTTCCGTCGCGCGGGCGAAGGCAGGCGTGTGCGTTAATCGGGAGGCGACCTTTTATTAATGAACAATGATCACCCGGTAATCTCTCATTTATCGCCGCCGTCAAGTGACCGGGCCTTTGTTTCAAGGTGCGCGGCGGCGGGTGTGTGAATGAGAGAGAGAGAGCGAGAGAGAGAGAGAGAGAGAGAGAGAGGGAGAGAGAGAGAGAGAGAGAGAGAGAGAGAGAGAGAGAGAGAG